GGTCTCACTTTATCTCTCTAACATTGATCTCTTCTTCACTTTGTCACTGGCTCTATTTTTCTTCCTTTGCCCATTGCTCTTCCACAGTGTTTTCCACGTTTGTCTGTCGGTTTTTAATACTTATAAGGTGGACTTGGAGTGAATTATGGGCCTTAAAGAAGTAACATGTAGGTGGCAAGCATGACACTTTTCCTGTTTGTGTCTTACTTAGCTTCTGTATATCTTGCCCTTTTTTTGGTGTGTGTTCTGGTGGAGAGATGATGTAGTCCATCAGCCAGACTACCAAGAGGTAACTTTGTGACCTATAGAATAATGTAGGAAACAGTAATAAGCTCACTGATTTGAAAGCCTTGTACACTAATCTGGCATCCATCCAGAACCTATACCTAGACTAGCAAAATTTGATAGTAGAATTAACAGCTAACTGGAATTTCAAAAGCTGTTTTTCAGCTTTTGGTTTATGTTGTCTTTTCCAAAAATGTCAAACAATCATAGACTTCATCATTACTGTAATAATAATTAATCATAAATGGCCTTGGGGAAAAACTGTGTCTGGACTTCTGTTCCTTGATAGTTAAGAGGAAAGGATAAAATCAGTAATGTGGTAAGGAAGTTTGTAATTTCTTCTTCCTTCCATGGAATGAATTATAAGGTGATTGGCCCTGATTTTTTACTAGATGGTAGATGCTCATTGTATGTAGTGTTCAACATATCAGTTGGCTTAATCTTTCAAGGCACAATTAAGTTTAATTTTAGTTTTTAACAGTAAGTAAAAACAATTGGAGGTGCTTTGTTGGTTCTTCAGAACCTTATATTCCTAGTTCTTGGCAGATATTATCCACAGGACTTAATGTTCCACTGGGCTTATGCCAGATTCAGTGAACTGCGTATCCTAGAAACACTAAAAGCTGATTTTCTTTTAGATTACAGTTAACATAACAGATTTTTCTTCTCATTGTTTCTCACTACCATACTTTAAATTTACCAAAAGGACCAAAACATCCAAATTACAAAACTAGTTAAGTTTATCATTCATGAGAAAATATGTTAAATGTGTATCTTTTGTAAAGTGCTGGCTGCTTCTGATTAGAAACCACAGCTCTGTAGACAGACTTCATGTAATTGAAAGCTTTTAAAATTAATCTCTTTGTTGTAATTTTCATTTAAAATGGGATGATTCTGTCTCTGAACTAGTCCTACCAGTTCACCAAAGGAGCAATGAATTATGAGGTAGAGTCTGATCTGTTCGGCACAGAGCAAATCTGTGACTTTAGTAATACCAGACCTTTTTTAACATCACTGACACTTGGTCAACAACAAAAAAGAAAATCACATTTTGCTAAAGCTTCTTTGTTGTGTCTTTTTTAGAAATGGCATGCCAATTTACTTGCTTATAGTTCAGCTCTTATTAAAGACCAGTTTTTTAAGGCTTTAGCCAGAATTTACCTCCTGAAGCTATCTTTAAAATGGCTTCCAAAAAGGATTTGCTAGGTTTCAGAACTGAGTAGGCTGTTAATGATTCAATATGCCCCCTCATTCTCCTCCTACTTCTTAAGTTAAAAGCTCCTTCATAGCATCTAGGTGCCTTGAGTCATCATGGCTAAACTGTAAAGAAGAATTGTTACATGGAAAAAACTCACCATGAAGTAAAATTGTCAGAAAACAATCTGAGTCAGAGATCATTCAGTGATCACAGTGATAGAACATAGAGGTTGTGGGCTTCATTTAAATCATTGAATGTACTTACATATGTGTTTATTACAAGACTTGTAGATGCCGAGGAACTTGGCTATTCCCAGTTTTTATTAGTTTGATTTTTTTTTTTGGTCAATTACATGAAAAGGATTTCATACTGAATTTCTTTTTTGAATACATGTACCCAGAAGTGCTATTGCTGGGTGCCATGGACCACACTTTATAAAAGGATTATGTTGGTATACATAATACAGGAGAAGCAGTATGATTCAGGATAATACCACTATATCAGAAGGCAAGAGACCTAGAGTTTTGGTCCATTTATTCAGTATGTGCCTCATGTATATCACTTAACCTCTGTGTACCTCAGTTTACTTGTCATTACAAGGTCAGGAACTCTGTGATGATAGCCCTCTTTGGAATCCACCCATGGGGGATATAGCTAATAGCTGACACTAGACCGGTTCCACACTCCTTTTTGGTACAGCACTGTCAGCGGCTCTGTAGTTGGCATTCTAGATGAAATCTGTCATTTCAACCTTATGAAGTCTTTAGTCCCATGATTCCATGACTTTAAATGATTTGCCTTTAGAAAATATCTCTCTTTTCTGAGTTTGTACTCTCTTCATGTTGAGCTTTCAGGGTTGAAACTTACTGGATGAATTTAAGAATTTTTGTAGGCAGGGATAGCATGTTTCACATAATGTTATAGACTGAATGTTTGTGTCTCTCTGCAACCCAAATTCATATATTGAAACCTAATCCCCAGTACCAGTATGTATTTGAACATAGGGCTTTTGGGAGGTGATTAGGTCATGAGGGCAGAGCCCTCATGAATGAGATTAGTGGCATTACAAAAGACCCCAAAGAGATCCCTCATTCCTTCTGTCATATGAAGATGCAGCAAAAAAATGTCCATCTCTGAACCAAGAAGTGGGCCGCTACCAGGCACCAAATCTGCCAGTGCCTTGATCTTGGACTTCCCAGTCACCAGAACTGGGAGAAATAAATATCTTGTTTGTAAGCCACCCAGTCTGTGGTGTCTGTTACAGCAGCCAAAAGGACTAAGACTTGTAATGTTAGAAACAAATGTTTGGAGAAAATTTCATGGTGACACTTAAAATTCCAAATGGAGTGGAAACAAATCAAAATGCTCAGTGATAACTGGATTTAAACTCATTTCAACTCCTAAGTGTTTCAATTGGCAAAAACCTCAGGTTAGTGATACTGTGTCTGTTTGGAGGGCACATAATGAAGCAGAACCAATAGTAGATTGAGAGACAGGAGGCCTGAGTTTGAGTTCTGCAAGCTGTTTTTAATCTGATTTGTGTGTTCATCTTTGTAATGGTACTAGACCCTTACTTCCCAAACATTAAGTGTATTATATGAATTATCTGGGGGTCATATTAAGATGAATGTTCTTATTCAGTTAAGTCTATGTGAACCTTGAGATTCTGCATTTTTAACAAGTACTCATATGTGCTACTGCTGGGTGCCATGGGCCACCCTTTATAAAAGTACTTTGATGGTAGGAGGTCCCTTCTGGCTGGGTCTTTAAATCTTAACTCTTCTTTCTCTTCAGCTCTTTCACATCAAATTTCATTAAACGTACTCATTTTGAAATCAAATTCCTAGACTCGTTCCCTATTTTCTCTGACAGCTTACATAGTTTTGCTGTTTTTCCCTCTCCAGAACCTACTTCATAGGTGGTCATGCAAGTTAAAGGTAAGGTAGTATAATAGAAAGAGGCTTTGACTTCAAGAAAACTGAATTCAGGCCCCTCCCCCACTGATCAGCTGTTGTCTCAGAGCTTTGAATACCGTCCTAGTAGGGTTGTTGAAAGGAACAGGAATAATATACAAAGCACTGTCAGGCATGAAGTAGGTTCTCAAAATTGAAAGTTATTTTTATTATTCTTAGTTGCATACTGATTTGGTTTTGTAGAGGAGAAAAAAGAAAAGGAACTATCTGTCCCCAGCCCAGGACCTCCTTTCTGTGTGCCACAGTTAAATTTTCAACTGCCTACTAGTCATACTAAGCCAAATTCTTAAAACTTACTGTAGTCAAAAAGATCTCTTTGTTTTTCTTTCCATATCTGTTCTGCCTTCTTCAAGCCTAATGGGAGTTAATGTTTCACTCTGTACATGCCCAAGCCAGGAACCTGTTGGTTCTTCTTGGTTTCTCAAGTACCATTTTTCTCTACCTTCACTTCACCGTCTCAGAGAAGCCCTTTTCCTCTTCACCCAGGCAGTTTGTATTTGGTCTTACTGGTTCTAGTTTCCTTATGTTTGTCATATCCTCTCTCTCACACATCTTGCATTCTGCTTTCAAAGCTATTTTCCAAAAAAATCTTATTTTTTTAACCAATATTTCTTGAATACCTCCTATGTAGAAGTCACTGTGCAGGCATTGTGTGTATGGTGAGAGAACGAAGTGAGACAGTTCCTAATGAAAAGCACAGACTATGGAGGGAAATAGATGCTATACACAAGTATGTGTGTAAGTAAATAAAAAACAAGGTGCTATGAGAGAGAATAACAGGATGAGACCTGTGTTACATTGGGTGGCCAGAAAAAGCTTTCTAAGGAATTAACACACTGCTATCTCAAGAATGAGGAGGAGGAGCCAGCTAGGCAACACAATATTGTTCCAAGCTGAGGGTACAGCATGAGCGAAGACCCAGAGGTGGGAGAGGTGAATATGTTTTAGAAGTGAAACGATAGGACCTGCTGATGGATAAGATATGGAGGATGAGGCAAAAAGAGTTGTTAAGAACTTCTAGGTTTCTCATATGAGCAATTACTGGATTAATAGTGTTGCCATTTACTGAAATAGATAGCGGTAGGATAGGTTGGAGCAGGGGTAGAATTATGAGTTAGTCAGGTTTGAGAAGCTGAAAAAAAAAATGTAGTATGTCAGTCCCCTCTGGTTCCCTGTTTCCTGTAAGATCTGTTCCAAATTCTGTCATGGCTTACAGAGTCCTTCGATAGTTGACCCTAACCTCTCTCTCTTACTTCTCCCTCATGTTACCTTCATTACTGTACTCAAGCCATAATGAAATTTTTACTGTTCTCAAAACAGTTTGGAGATGTGTGTTTGCTTTTGCAAATGTTATTCACTTTGCCTGGAATAAACATCTCTGGCTAAGGGCTTCACATCCTTCAAAGCCCATCTTGAATATTCTATAGAATCTTCTCTAATTTCTCCATGTTTAGGTTAGAATTCTGGCCTTTTTACTGTCATTTGGTTAATACCTGTTACAGCACTTACCATATTATACTAGAATTTCTCATTCAACTTTTTAGACACATTTCACCAAACCAGGAGCTGCATGGGTACAAGTATCTAAGCTCTTCCCAGGATCTCACAGGGCACAAAGGAGCTGCTCAGAAAATGAGTAAGTGGATATTGTTCTCACATAGCAGTCATAACTCCACCCCCTAAACTGGGTTAGTGTTCTTGGCTTCCATGGAGCCCAGACACTATTTTCAACATGTTATATTGACATTAAATCATTTCATGTAAGTTTCTCAAGAACAGGAATTGAATCTTGTTTTTCTTTGTCTCCACAGTGCCCAATACTGTGCTTACCTTGCAATCAGGAAAATTCCATTGAACCATGGCCTCACTGTGGAATACCTTAGCCACAGAATTCTGGGCGAATGCACCTTATGAGGGCTGGAGGTAGGAAGAAGGGAAAGCCAGTATGACTATTAACATATCTCAACAATAGCTTGCTTGCTATTATGGATAAAAAGATACATAAGTATGCTCACATTAAATCCCATTATTCCTTTGAAGTAGCTGTGGAAATGACTTATCTCCATGTTGTTAAATGCAGTGATACTTTTTCAGTATTCATTTTGCCTGACCCCTCAGCAGCATTTGAAATTGCTGGCTACTTCCTCCTTTTTGAAACATTCTTCTTCACTTCCAGGACACTGTGTACCATACATGTGGATGCTGCTTTTTTCTCTTTCAGGAGAGAATCTGCTGTGGCTCCTTCACATTCCTAAATTTTTTACTTCCTCAAGGCTTAGACCTAGGCTCTTTTCTCTTGCTCTGTATTCTTTCCCTAGGTTATTTCATCTGTATATTGAAGATTTCCAGGTTATCTTTCCAGCCCAAGCTCCAGACCTGTATTCATAGTTATTTCTAATTCTCCCATGGATATCTCAGAGGCACCTCAAATGCCCGTGCTCTGAAGGTCAGACTGATGGGAGCTGCAAGAGCACCAGACTACAGAAGTTTTTGAAGAGTGATTTATTACCCTTCATAAAAATTAATTTCCAGCATTGGCTCCCTCCCCCAAAAATCTCTCAGCAGGAAATAGTTTCTGTACTAAAGTAATCATTTTTAAATCATTGACAGTATAAATATTCAAGTAAATAGAAATTGACTATCAGAAGAACTCTAACAGTAAACTTTTATTGAGCTACCACTGTGTGCTAAACACTGATTCTCATAACAACCCTTTGAGGTAGGTAATACTATATTGTTGAAAGGTAAATGACTATGCTGTTCCTAAGTATAGACTCTTAACCAAGACTTCTCAGGTTCCCATCCCAGATGCCTGCTCTACCACTCTATGAGTTTGGGTAATTTACTCATCTGGGCCTTAGTTTCCTCATCTATAAAACAGAGATGATATTATCATTTATCTTCTAAGAACATTATTAGGAGTTAAAGAATTAATGTGTAAAGCTCTTTGAAAAATGCCTGGCACTTATGGCAAGCACTGCATAGATGTTACTATTATTATTATTATCGTAGGTTTACAAGTGAGGAAATGGTCTCATTGAAGTTGGTGCAAGTTCCACAGCTATTAAATGACAATGCCAGGGTCAGTATAGACAGTCTGAGTCCAGAACCCCCTAAACCAGTAAGTAATTTTATCTCATCCTCTTCATCTTAATGGTCTTGTTGTAATCGTAAGAGCATTGTTATTAATTCCAGTGCTCACACCTGATGTTTAAATGTAGATGTAAAATATGCAGGTAAATGCTCAGTTCAGGATGATCTGAGGAGCACAAGGATGTACATATTAATTCCATTTTATTCCTTGTTTTATTCTTCTTTTCTTGTTAGTAGTTAAGTCACCAAAATCCCTGGAAAGTGAAAGTACAAATTATATATTAATCTGAAGTGACTTTAGTTGTTGTGCTTTACCACTCTGTTAAATCATCTTTTGCTAAACATTTCAGAATGACTTGGGGGCTTAATAGCTTGTCATATTCACATAGTGTGTTTAAAATCAATAATTTTTGTGGGTGTGAGTAACTTACAGCTTTTGAAATTCTGTAGTGATTTGCCTATTTTTAAAAGTCTGAGATGTTGCAGTTTCCCAAGTTTTCCTCTGAATTTTAATTTGATGAGCTGCTTTTTGAATAGGAACTTTGATTATAGTATTCTGATGTTTCTGTATTAGATTCTATATGTAGTTGATTCTGCTTAATTTTATAAGCTTTAGTTTCTGACTGTCATTTGGGCCTTGAGTGAAAAACACATCTGGTTATTATTTAGTTTCTGTAAATGATTTGCTTCCCTTCTCCCTTGCCCCTTACTTGTTATTTCTTTTTGTCATTGTTGGTTTTTTATTCTTATTCCTTTGTGGGCAAAAAATTTTTTTTCTTTGTATTAAGGCAATAAAACAGCAGAAGATATAAAGTCTTTTGTAGCCTTTAAACTTCACAGGGATGGGGTCCTGAGGAGGAGAATAGATTTTGAAAAATGAGAATCATCTATGAGGAAGAGTCTGATTTTACCTCGGTTTTGGAACTGAATGCTATGACATACTGTATTTACTGCTGGGAAAACAAACACACTTAAAATAATTGTTATTATCAGTTAAGACTATTTCTATTGTGACAGAAAACTCCACTCAAACTGGCTTAAGTGGGGAAAGATTTATTGGTTTTTGTAAACTGGCCCAGAATATGTGTGGCTTCAAGAAAGGGTCCCCTCCAGGATTCAAATAATGTCAGTGCTCAATTTCTGCATGTTTCTTAGCATTGCTGTCTCTGCATTAGTTTTATTCTCCAGCCCTACATAAACGAAAGATAACTTCAATCCCTTTAGCCCCTAAATCCTCACAGCACCATGTGTATCTGGAAAGAGTGACCATCTTTTTCCTAGAAGCCCCGGCAGTAGTCTCACTGCATCTCATTGGCTTAGACTGACCCACTTCCCTTGCAGCCAGAGGAATGTGAAGCTCGGATTGCCTGGGACTGAGCCATAGGCCCAGCCATCGAGTGTGAGGGTGTAGTCAATTCCACAAGATTCATATACACTGTATGTATTTCCCAGAAGGAAATGAAGATACCATTATGCCACAGGAAGGGTGAATGTTTGCTGGGCAGCAGAAAGTAGATGTCCTTAACTCTTCATAGTACCTTTTCTGTTTTAAGAGTTAGCCCTTAACTGTGGAAGACCAGTTTGGTTGGTTGGATAGTTGTTTTCTAATTTAGTGCTCATTTGGAATTTGTGTGATTTTACTTCCAAATTACTATTTTAAAGCAGTATATAAATGGGAAGTGCCAGGAATTTTCACCTGAGATTTAAGAATGCATCAAAATTTTAAATTTGGTGCTCCTTTAACAAATACTATTAATCTTCCTATTAACTGTAGTAATCAAATTTTCTGATAGATAGTTCTTGTGATATAGGGCAGTGTCTTTATGATTAACATGTAAACACTTCTTTAATGCTTTAAGACTGGGCTTTTGGACCAAGAAATTCATGAAGAACCATAACATCCAGTGGTCTTTCTTAGACACTCAGGTCTTCCGGAGAGGAGGAAGTGGTAAGGGATTGTCAGAGACATTAACAAGACTTTACTTTAATTGATTCTATGATTTTAGTCTGAAAATGAAAAGTAAATTCTCACTGAAAAGGAAAATCAGATGCCTATTGCAGGGTTACTCCTTTTTTAACAAAAAAAATTTGAAATGAGGTGGAAAATGATATTTATATTTCATTCTCCAGTATAATTATTTAGATAGCTCCTTCTATTTCTTAGGTTACATTTATATATACATGTATATATATACATACACACACATATATATGAATGACTACATCCATCCCTATAAGGTTTTAATATTTTAGTGTTTGGGAAATACTGATTTTTTTCTTTCAAATTTCTGACACCATAGAAATAGGTATGCTTAATCTGCCAAATTAAAATGAAGACTCCATAAGATCTAAATAAAACATACATTTAACAATCTTTTCCTTTATAATTAAGTGCTGCAAATGAGTGAAACAGTGGAGTTTTTGCCTTTAATAAGAGATATAGCACAAGGTCTACATAACTCTAATGCAAAACTGGTTATAAGCATAGGAGTTTAGGGAATAAGGAAAGACTTTCCATTTGGAAAAGTCATATCAGACGGGTCTTGAAACATCACAGTTTTTAACAGGTAAATAGTGGTAGCATTTCAATTATTGTTTACTGAGCTTTTAGTATATACTCAGATTTCATTTTTGTCAGATAATGTGTGATACATGTGACATGGGGGGCCACAGCCATATCACTTTAAATTTGAGGGAAAGTTGGAAAGAATTTGAAGTATGGTAGATCCATAGATATATGGTGTAAAACATAAAAATCAAAATAATGGTACTTACTGGGACACATATGGGGAGCTATTTCAGCTACAACAATAATTCTTCATAGTATAAGAGTTGAGAATCATTTCTAACAAAAATTACATTGTTTCCTGGGAGGTAATTATTTGAATAAAAACAGTGGTATATACATTGCCTTAGAAGGTGCTAGATTAATCCTCTAACATTAGAGTCATTAAGGAAATAACTATGACTGTGTATGGATCAGCAATATTGGCAAGTGCAGTCTGTATTCTACATCTTCCAGAATCAGCAATATATTTATTTGCTTGATTTTTATATAGGTGTTTGTGTGTTTAATAAATGCAGGATGGTTCATTTAAAGTGAACTTTCCAAAATACAGGGTGACTTTAATTGAGTGATCCTGGAAAATTTATAGTCTAATATTTACTGAAGAAAATTTTAATAATCACAGTAAAAGGAATAACATATTTTATCAGTTATTAAGAATTTCAGTCTTTTTTTAAATATTAAGAAAAGCAATTAGAAAAAACCTATTCAAATGTTATCTTAATTGCGATTTATTAAGTTATATGAAAAAGTCCAAATTTGTTTAGACAAATAAGATCTGAATTTATAGTTTTCTGGGCCTACTGTTTTTTCATGGAATCCGGGGCATATTAAAGTGTCTACATTTATGTTTCACTACAAAAGATTGGTCTGACAGTAAGTTTTAGTCATTTTCACAATTTATTGCTATCTAAAAATTTCCCGATTTCACATTTTGTTCTGAATGTCCTAGTTTCTTTCTTCCTCCTACACAATGTTGAAGGCAAGTGTAAAGCAAGAGTTGCAAAGTAACAGAGAATTGGAGAATCCTGGCTTCTTTTCAAAACAAAATAAACCTTTATTATAAGATTGTTTTTTATTGATACCCAAAAAAGGGCTTTTGGCAAGTGTTCAGTAAATGTGTGAATAACCTAATTGATTTAGCTGGAATGAATAGGAAGCTTTGCAATTTGTCCTTGTATTTGGCTCAGTAAACACACTGTGACAGACTCGATGGTCGAAGGTTAAAAATAAAAACTCACCAAACTTACAGATCTAAATATTAGCAAATCTGTGTCTCTCCGAGTGCCTTTAAAGAGAAAGTACAATATGTTAATTGGAATCTTGTTTATTTCTACCATAAAAAATAGTCATGTAATGTACGTAAGATCCAATGCTTCAATAATCATTAATGTTTGAAAATATTAATAGAGGAGATCCTTAGTAAGAATTGTAACCTGTATGAAATTCAAAGATATGTGTAGACATTTAAACATACTGTTGTATACTCTATAATAAAGCTCCACTAAAGGCAGGAGGCATAATTAGGACAAACAATTAAAAATAACAGTAGAAACAAATTAAGAACTTTTTAAAAACTTGTTATTGTGTCACTATTATATGATTTGCAATAGGAAATCTCAGAAAAATTCTAGGAGAAAAAGTGATTTTCCTGGTTTTAATATGGGAATTATAGATTCATTTAATATAGAAATGTTTCTCAATTAGTCTTTGTATCTGGAACTCCTAGCACAGTACCTGACCCATAATAGTCACTCCATGAATGTTTACTGAACTAACTTCCAATTTTAGAAATTTCAGGATGACAGTGTTATTTTAGGGGGGTTTTAAAACCATATTCTCCCCACCGCAAACTTTGTATCTCTCTTTTGATACAGTTTCTCAGTTTTGAGTGTAAAGAAGACTTGTTGGTATTTTTCATCAACCCAACCTTAGCCTGAGCTGAAATTACTTAAAAGGGAACTCAATTTAACAGCATTCCTTCTTTTCAGGTATCTGGAGTATAAAATATAGATTCTAAATGACATAAATGGAAAGAGTCTGTTTTTATCTGGTTGGAGGAACATTAATAAACTAAGATGAAGAACCAGTTTGAAAAAATATCTATTCCTGTTGAGTGGTCATTCCCAACAGATGTAGTTAGAGGGAAACTAAAATCTGACTTTCAAATGTTAACTGAGGCAACAACCTATACTTTCCAAGTTAGATCCAATATCAGGAACAATAAAATTGCAGTTGTTACAGTCAAGGTGTCATAGGAACTAGAGCTTGAGAAAAAGTTAACATTAAATGAGTATTCATGCATAAGTCTTTGGACAGATGTTTCTGTATCTACTAGACATATACTTAGAATGGCATTCCTGGTTTGTATGGTAACTTTGTGTTCAGTCCTCTAAGGAACTGCCAGACCATTTTCCAGAATGACTGAACTGTTTTTACTTTCCTACCAGTAGTGATTAAGG